GACTTATGCCATAGTCTACAAAATAAGTCGTTCTTCTCTCTCCAAAGCCTTTCCAGCATGTTGCCGCGCTCTTAGGCAATCAGTTGGAATCCTGCAGTGTTTTTCTGGGTGATTCCTTCTCTGAACCAATGATCTGCATCATTCACTGGTTTTAAGAAATAGTAATAAAAATTGGAGCTGGGGAGGACTGTGCTCATGTTACCTACAGTTCTCACAGAAGTAGAAGCTTTGAAATCCAAACTGAAAATCTGCTTGTCCCTTGCCTTACTCGCGTTCTTCAGTTGCTATTCTGAATTCCTTTGAAGTTAAAAATGAAAGCTGAGTTCTTTTTGACTTGTGGAAAACCTATCAGAAACTGAAAGCAAAGTTACTCAAAATGAGAAAGATGAGAAATTTCTTTTTGTTCCACTTTCCCCAAATATCTGTGCCATTTGGGTGTGTTCTTTAGATTTTTACCTTTTTTGTGTTGCAATTTTTGAGTCTCTCTACTAATTTTTTGCCAGTTTTAGGGTCTTTTTGATCTTTTGAGGTCTCCCTGGTTAGGGGAGAGTTTGCAGGGTGAACTACAGTTCTCTGCATCACTTGCTGTTAAAGCATATCAGTATCTGCCTCTCTTGGCAGAAGCTTTTGTCTCTAGACCCAGAATTTCAAGTAACAAAACTTTGTCTAGATGAGACAAGGTAACAGAGTTTAATTATATATATATATGTATATATATAGTTAGTGAAGAACAACTCTGCAAAAATGCCACAGAAGCTGAACTGGTGAGATTATTCCTTTGCTGAAGACTTTCTTGTCCATCATTTTTGGCAATAACACTTATTTCAGTTCTCAGTTATTCCAGTTTCAGGCAAAATTCAATATTCTTTCACGTCAGCTGAAATTAATGTGAGAAATTAAGTAACATAAAGCTAAAGTTACACTGAAGGCTAAAGAAAGCAGCTGGGGATGGCTGAAAAGTTGAAGATTCCCCTATACAGGTACAGCAGCAGATTGTGCAGTGAAGGAGGAAAACACCTGCCACGTTCATATCAGCATGTTGCTAGTGCTAATTCTTAAGGATATTTATAGTAGTGTGAAGTCAATTTGAAACTCACTTTGTAGATTATAGATGCTCTTTTTTTCCTGCGTGCCTTTTGAAGAATTGACTGTTACTTAAGGTTATTGGCCTTACTCGAATAGAAAGATGTAAAGTTATGGGTACTTAAATTAAAATTGATCTAGCAGTGGGGCAGAGTGCTGGTAGCTGTGTCATTCCAACACTGTCACTTTCTGGCAGTTTCCCTGTATGAAGTGTTCTCCTGGGTGCTCTGCGTATCCTGCACATAACTTAGAGTTTTATATTTCTAGAAAGCGGCAAGACGCTTCTTTTCAGTGGGTTTCTTTTGAAGTGCTGAGTTGCTGCCATCCCACTTTCCTTGTCACCTGTTGAGTCTCTGAGTGACTGAGGAGGGCCTGTATGTTATCCATACTTTCTTTTTAACTAACATGCACCTTTTTATAATCATCTTTTTCTGCTTTGAGTGTGTGCTTGTTGTTACTGCCGTCCTTCTAGGATACTCATTGAAATCGTGTTCAGTTTTCTGTACGGTATATGAATCGTAAGAGGAGTATGTTTTGAGATGGAGGAAGGGATAGGGAAGACAATGATGAAAAAGGGAGGAATTCAAAGAGAAAATTACTTCACAGTTCAGGTAATCTTGATGAGAGAGCGATAAAGATATCTAGTGATATCACAGGGGACAGAGAGTGAGAGGCAGGATGGAGACAAGACTTTCAGAGAGAGAAAAAAATTATATGGTCAGTTGCTCTGTTGAGCTTCTTTTATCCTGAGTCTACCAAGGGTTTAAAACCAAGTGCAAACTGAGGTCAGAGGGTGTATGACAGCTCTCAGGACCAGGGTATGACTTTGAGTAAGCCGCACAGGCCCATGTGTAATTAAAGTATGTGATTAAGCCATTGGAAATACATTTGCCATGCTGAATATCTCAGATTCCATCTTCCAACCTGGACTTCTTACTCATTTTCTCTTGTGTTTCCATGAGTTATTAATTTAAAACAGAAGTTTTTCACAGCAGGAAACTGCTCCATGATACATTTCCATAGCACCTGACTCAGCAGAGCATCTGTGTTGATAGCAGCCCTGTAGGTCCTACCACATCAGCTGGCCATAGCAGGATTCCTCCAGCTGCTACTTCCTGATTAAGTTAAGATCAGGTGACAATGAGCTGTGGTTGCAGTGCATCTCATTTCATTTTGTTTGCTTTTTTCTTTCCTTAAGCCTGGTATTTGAGAATTGCATGGGAATTTAGTTCTGGATCTTTTCTGCAGCATGTTTAATTTTTGTTTACTGTTTGCTTTGAGAGGGGAAGGAGGGGGAAATGAAACCAATAGCTACAGAGAACAAAGAACTGTTACCCTGCATGGAGGTCTGAGATAATATGATGGTGTTTGACATGAGACCGGAGTGGCAGAGAGTAAATACCAAAAAAAAAAGAGGCAGAATTAATGGAGAATGAATATAATTCTGAATAGTTGAAGTTGAAAAATTGATAAGTAAACAAGACAGCAAGTAGTAGGGAGGGAGCATTACCCAATTGTGTACAAAGAGATGAATTACTCCTGTAAGAGTCTGGTTTAGAGGTGCAAAATGTACTTTTGCTTAAATCCTGGCTCTGGCATGAACCAGCAAGTCTCTTTGTTCTGTCTGTGGGATGAAGGCAGGTGTACTGCAAGTGCAGCCTCTGTGTCTTTAAGCTGGGTGCCACAAATGAACAAAACATTTTTTTAATTCACTGAGCTAAATGGACATGGAGGTGAATCGAGTGCACAAATTAAGGTACAATAAATTACTTTCCATCAATTTGAGTCATATTTTATAAGTAGAGCTATTTATGGCTTTTTTTTGACTGAGAGCAGAGACGATAATAATCTGACAATAATTACCTTGTGGGAAAAACAGGAACAAATGAATCTGAATTCTTCAGCGTTTGATCCTTGTGCTGATAGTAGATAGTAGAATGATAAAACTTTTATGAAACAGCACTGCAGTAGTATGTCAAGCCGTTTTTTTATTTCATTGCAGATAACTGTAAGGGAAAATACTTGAAACTAGACGACATGCATTATGACATACCATTTAGCCGCGGAGATGTAAGCTGGGATCAAAGCTTGTTTGGAAAATTGAGGTCCTTGGGAGCAGGAAGAAAAGAGGAGTTTCTGACAAATAATATAAGAATTCTTCTGGGTTCCTCAGAGCAGGTCTAAGGTTGTTGTAGAGAGGTCCAACGCTTCATTACGTTGCAAGGCATGTGCTGGAGTCCATGTGTCTGAAGAATGGGTTATAATTCTTAGCCTTTTCTTAGTCACTGTCATATGAGGTCAACCTATCATTAGAAGTCAGACTTTTGCTGTCGGTAATGTACTGTCTCTTCTTTGACCTCATTTTACAGTTAGCTACTCAGTTTGGTACATGATAAGAGCTTGAGCAAAACAAGATTGAAGTTAGCCTTTTATTTTGTCTGCATTGTTATCCTGAGTTACATTTAGTAGGCTTTTGGTTTTTTAGAAGTTAAGAATCGCTCTGCTTTTAGAAAAGTTGTTCTCACCGTTAAAGGCACGTTTTCTCCATAGAGGAGCAAAAGGCAGTCGATGCTGGAGGGCAGGAGCTGTCTTTCTGCATTGTTGGCAATGCCGGGGTGGTTTGGGGAGCTGGCAGATGGCTTGCACTCACAAGAGTCCTTCCCTCCCCACTCAAACTTTTGCAGCCCGCTTGTTGACGTTTAACCCTAGTTATCCAGTATTAATGATGATTCAGGTAATTTTCTTTCACATCCCACCAGAGTCTGTTGCTGCTGTCAAAACAGAAGTTACAGCTGACACAGGAGCATGGTTCCTTTGTTATTATTTTTATCATTCTTCTTTCATTTTTTCAGTCCCTCATTTTGGCATTTCATGCTATTTTTCTCTTCCGGCAAGGCTTTCGCCTGTTAGATAACTTTGTTAAATGTTTCTCTTTTCTGAGTTTTTATTTTTTTCCTTTCTATTCACAGTTTCAGATATTTTTAGATTTAATCAAGATTCCCTGTAAGTTTACAGGTTCTTTCCTCATCAGAATATGGAATCATATGGCTAACTTTGAAAATGAAAATGCTGTGGATCGTATTTGGTTTTCAGTACTTCCTCCAAACAGTATTTATCTTTTCCTCCAAACATCAGTGTCTCCAAGCATGCCGCCTTCTGTTTTCTGCTCTCAGAACTAAACATTTGCAGAAAACATTGAAAAAATGTTTGTGCTTAGGAAGCCAGTGGGGACGTGCCTCCTCGTTTAACTCTTCAGGTTAAAATTAGACACCTTCTTACAAGTTCAGGCTGTAATGTGTACCAGCAGTCAAAGAATGTGGCATATTAAGGACTCTACTGTCTTTCAGCTTTACATTGATGAAGGATTAATTTATGCCTTCTCGAAGAACATCAGCAGCCAGATCTAGACTTACTTGTAGTCAATGGAAGGTTTTTTACTTTCTGGGGAAAGTCCTGTAACACCAAATGTCTCAAACACTTTTATGTAAATTCTCTCTATTAAGAAGGAGCCACCCAAAACACTGGGATCCTCCATGTTATTTTTGAAATCTCAACAGTAAATAATTCACACAATATGAAGTCGGCTGGAGAAGCACTACCACTTCATGGCACTCTGTGTTGTTTCAAATTGTTTGTTGTTCTCATTGTGCTTTAGCACAGGATTGATTATCTAATTGGTTAGATGATAATCAATTAGACACATGACCTTGTTCAATCCTTCCCCGACATATTAAATTGCTAGGCAATTAACAGGATTTGAGGCTTTCCATAATCTTCATGATGTCTAAACGTGCATAAGGACAAGTGTATTTGTGTCTGAAATAATGAAAGAATGATTTAATGTTGCTGAATTTTGCGTAAATTTTATTCTTCAATATGTTTCATGTTCTTCTTTTCTTTTCGTTTTTAGGTATTACATAGAAATGGCTTTATGGATCTGGACACTGAGCATTTTGAGCTGTTTTTGCATCACCTTATCCAGAAATGAGGAACTGAAATTTTTTCAGAGTGCTACAGAGCTAAATCATCTAACAGTGGATAATGACACTGGGATAATCTATCTGGGAGTGGTAAATGCTCTATATCAGCTTACAGAAAACCTGGATGTAATAAGGTCTGTAGAAACAGGTCCAAGAAAGGACAACAAAAAGTGCACACCTCCCATTGATGAAAATCAATGTAAAGAGGCAGTACTGACTGACAATTATAACAAATTACTGTTGCTGAACAAGGCGGATAAAACAATCGTGGTGTGTGGAAGCCTTTTTAAGGGAATCTGTGCCATCAGAGATCTAGAAGACATTAGCAATGAGAAGTATTATGTAGACAGTAGTGGAGAAAAGTCCTTTGTGGCAAGCAACGACGAGAATGTATCAACCGTGGGATTGATCACTTCCTTGAACAACGACCGAGTGCTGTTTGTTGGGAAAGGGAATGGACCAAATGATAATGGGATAATAATCAGCACTCGGCAGCTCTACGAAAGGGATGGAAAAGACATTTTTGAAATGTATACAGACTCGGCAGCTGTTAAGTCAGCTTATCACTCATCAAGCACACAACAATTTGTGGCGGTCTTTGAGGATAAAAATTATGTTTATTTTATTTTTAATCAGCAAGAGAAACAGCCCGTCAATAACCGCACACTGATTGCGCGTCTGTGCAAAGATGATGCCCATTATTATTCCTACTTCGAAATGGACTTGGGTTGCAAAGATGATGATGGTGCTTATGACCACTGTCATTCTGCTTATGTCACTACCCCAGGAGAAGAGCTGGCCGAGAGCATGGCTCAGCAGAGACAAACTACAGATTCTCTCTCAGATGACAAAGTTCTTCTTGCACTCTTCAGCAAAGTGAACAAAGATGATGGCTCTCTAAAATCTGCCATGTGTGTGTTTTCCTTGCGGCACATCAATGAAAAGATGGAAAAAAACAGGAACGATTGCTACACTAAAAAGAATACCAGCTCATTTTACAAACTTTTTGCAGCAGAAAACCCGTGTGCATTACATGGACTGGTAATATCCATTCTAAAACTAATGTTTCAGGATCTATGTTAGAATTAGTGGAAAATATACAACTGCATGGTTTTGGGTGGCTTTGAGCTAAACTGTAGTGACATTCGATGTCTGAAAACTCAATAGCTGGATTCACTATAGAAATGGAATGTGGTTGGGGGCGTTGCAGAACAGGACAAACAATAAGTGGCAAGATAGTCATAATTTTGAGTCTTTTAGAAAAGATTTGATGTCTTCTGAAAGATGAATATTGGTTTCATAAATGCATTTCTTTTAAAGAGTTCCTCCTCATATGGAAATTACTGAGTCAAATGCAGTGATTTGTTATGCCTGTGATCAGCTTCCGGATAATCACTATAGACAATTCTGGTCTCAGCCAACATATTTGTAATTTTTTTAAATGATATTAAGAATCTTGTAGGTTATATCTGGAGTTCAGTGTTGTTTCTCACTTGGATTTGAATTTCCAGATAACTGGAAATATGTATGTTTCTTATACTTGGGTGGTGTTCGTATATTGCTCTGGCTCAAAATAATTCCATAGCATGATGGCCATCTTCCTTTTCTTTTTATGTCTTGTAATTACCTTGGCTATAAGGTTTTTGGAGAGCACTGTTACACCCCTCCAGATACTGTTCTTTGATTTATGACTGTGCCTCCGAGAGGCAGTTTTCAGCATTTCTGTTGACTTTATGATGGTTTTGCTCATACCACTCAACTTATTCCCAAGCCCTACTTGTGTATGCCATTCGTTACTGCAGCCAACCCTAAACTGGTTTGAGGAATTGAATCATCTTAAAAATAACTCAGCCAGCTTTTAGGAGGATGTCTTAATTCCCCAACCTGAGCAAGTTACACACTTACATAAGCAACTGTTTGAGCACAGCTTGAGAAGTGGTATGCTACAGTCTAGGGGTAGGAGTGAACAGCTGAAGAGATGAGACGTAGGAATACTTTATGTTGGTATTGACCCAGAATCGTTCATCTCATGAAACTACAGCCCTCTCCTGCCTAGTAGGTCACTAGCACTGGTAAGAAGCCAAAAGAACACTCCTTGCTTCCAAAAAACAACATTACTCATTGCAGTACCCTGCATCTGAGGTGACCATCAAACATAGAAATCCTAAACGTGACAAGTGGAGTGGCTGTGGCATCCAGCAAAATGGAGGTGTGGATTTCAGATCAGAAAGACAATCTCATTACCAAATATAGCAGGAGAGGAAAGGTGCGAATGAACTTCCTCCTGGTGGCACTCCCTGCAGCTCAGGATTAAAGCATAGTGAAGTGGGAATGTGTTGAAGTACACAAGACAGTTGCTAGTGGGTTGCTTTTTTATGGATAGCTGCAAATCAACAAACAAAACAGCATTAAAGAAAACAGTCTTCAACACAAAATTTACCAACGCAATCTATATGCCATGTTCATTTTAATTAATCAAACTGGTTACTTTATAAACTGTGCTGCTATAATGAAACAGAAACAAAAAAATTTCTCTCCCCATGTCTCCTGGAAAGTGAAAGCATTGAAGCAGTTTGCAATTAGCAGGCTGCTTTCTGATCGTTGCTGTTGGCTGGAGGAAAATGGCCAGGCAATCTATTTCTCTCCTACTTTTCTATGTCTGAGGGGTATTATGCTGTCTGGTAATAGGCTTGCACTTCATTCTTAGTTAGGAATTAGTGATCTGAATGTTTAACATCGCTCTGTATTGCTATTCCTTATTAGAATGCAAGCAAAAATTTCCCCTGTGGCTCCGAACACTTGCCGTACCTTTTGGGAAGTAAGAATGGTGTTATAGAGAAGCCGGTACTACAAAAAGAAGAGATGAATCTCACGGCCGTCACTGTGGCTGTGGAGAACGGGCATACCGTGGCTTTTCTGGGAACATCAGATGGTAAAATTCTTAAGGTAACAAATCAGACTTAAAAGACAAATGTGTTTAAAAGGTCGCGAACCGTAGTGATAGCATACTTCCACTCTAAAAGTAAATGGGATTTATAAGATTGCATACAGGAGCAAATTCTCTTGGAGCTTGGTATTTTTAATTTCAAAGAAAAACCACATTATTTCTGATGTACCTCAGCTATCGGATACGCAGGTTGAATTAGCATTGCCTGAATGACACTTTTCCCGAAGGATTAGATACCTACTGAGAGCCCTGTATAAACAGCCTTAGGTAATCTACCAGCTGCCCTAGCCTTATCTCTATTCATGCCCATACCAGTCTAAGAGCAACTTTTCATTTTGTAATCGTTCTGGCCATTCAGTGAATAGAGATGGCAATACAAAGCCCAAGCTGGAGCTCTGCTAAGTTCCGACTGGGTGGTGTAGGGCTCGAGGGTTCACATGTTTGTGGCATTAAAATGTCAAGACTGCAACACCAAACACCTTCTTTTGTTTGAAGGGGAGTGATGGCCATGTGCTACTACGTGGTTTGAAATTTGAAGCTGAAACTGTTGGTTACCGTAGGGGAAGACAACAAATTTGAACACTTTCAAGTGTAAAGGCTCTGAGTTGACAATTTTAATTTAGCAGTGATACAATAAATCAGTATTTACAAAAACAGATACAAATATTAGGTATTGTGAGCAGTGAGCAATTTCTTTTCATGACTTTCATGCTTTGCTTGATGCTTTTGATGCCATATTCTTCAAATTGAAATATTTTCCCTAGTGTAAATTCCTGAACTTGAACAAACACAGGATTTTCATTATGATATTTGGGGGGGAAAAAGGAACATTAACCACCTTTTCTTTCTTCCATGAAATAGGTGTTCCTGTCATCCACTGCAACTGAGTACAGCTCTCTTACTATTGAACTAAACAAACCCATAAAGAATGACCTGGTCCTTGACAAAACCCAAGAAAATCTGTATGTGATGACCACAGACAAGGTAACATGTCCCACTTCTGTTAAGGGCCAGATCTGCTTTCACTTCCTCTGCAACTTTACCTGAGATTTGTACATTTCTCAATTGTTCCTGGAACTTGCCCCATTCGGTGGAGCTCCTCCCACTCTGTGTTTGTATATGAAGACCTTTCTGAAGTCCAAACTGGTGAACGTAATCACTTAGTTGTTTTGACTTGGAGGACAGTTATATCCTTCATGCTTAGCCATTGGGAATGGGAAGTGAACTCCCCTCTAAAGCTCTCTTATGGGGTCTGTGAGAAGGATTAAGCTGAGATGTTTGGCACCAGCACACTGTTGGATCAGGCAGCCCTAGACCTCGATGTGGTGTCTGTGAGGTACCAGTGGATACTCTAGCTGCCATCAGTCCTTTTCAAGAGTGCTCCAGGATTTTGGATGCTGGTGGCTGACATAATAGCATTTGCATATCTGTAAAGCAGCCAGGAATCTTTGTTGGTCTTATTGTCAAAATCTATGAAGTGATGGAGAGAATTACAACTTTGGGAAACGCTTTTATTTGAGTTTCTACTAGAACTGAGTGGGTGCAGCAGGAAAGGTCGGATTTTGCTACGAAAGGCACAGGCAGTCTGTTCTAGGTTCCCCTTCTCTCTACTGGCAGGTGAGGCACAATAGAGGTTGGTAAAGAAAGGAAGGGAAAAAAAGCAAGTAGGAGACAAGAGGAATGCCAGATTTTTCCTTCGCCTCCAGCTGTAACTCTCTTCTTACAATTCTCTTTGTGGTGGCTGGGGGTGCCCGAACGCGTGGTTCGGCAGCTCTCCGGGACAGGGGGGGTGACAGGCTGTGACCATCTGCAGCGCTGACAGTGACACTAAATGGGATGTGGGAAACGCGCTCGCAGCGGTAACATGGGGAGAATGAGAGGGGCTGTGAAAGGAGAGTATTTGGGGAAAACGGTGTGGGAAGAATGTTCTCTTTCTGTTTTATAAAAGGATTAATATAAATTCCCGCTATAAGAATATTATATTCTAGCTGAATATTTTCAGGCTAAAAGCCACATTGCAAAAAGTGCCAGATAAGTGACTGATAAAGCATTTAATAATATGACAGTTTGTGAGAGAGGGTACTTCTTTTTTGCAGTTGATACTTCTCATTTGGCTTCTGTTTGGATTTGAAACAGAACTCCAAGCTTCAACATTGTCCACAAAAGCCCAGACAGCTTGGCACGTTTGACAAGCTGGCACATTGCTTAAAAGCTCCGAGGTCCCCACCAGGCTATGACGTGAGCTGCTGAGCAACGTTAGGGTGGCAGCAACCTTGAAGGAAAAGAAGTTTTCCAGTGACAGTCTTCTTGAACTGATACAATTTAGGAAGGCCACAGGCAAATTTTTCAGAGAGAATTTGCAAAAAAATAATTGCATCTCTACAAAATGTTTAAATCTAGAAAGCGGCAAATTTCTGCCAAGGAAAGGATTTCAGTTTAATCTTTTCCAAGTAGCTCTCATAGAGACTGTAGTTTCTGAATAATGCGAATAATAGTTGTCTTTTACAAAACCTGTTCAGCTTAAATATGAATAACTAAAGTCATGAGCTCTGTAATGGCATTACATTACTGTCATCTCCAGGAGTTAATTATAATGAGTGGTCCCACCCACTTTTAGAAACAGATAGACAGGAGGAGAATGGAGGCCTTCAGAGCTGGGAGAAATGAAGCCACGTAAGTGAGGGGAGAAGAATAAATGCTGAAACGTGCACTTCTGGGTTAAGCGCAGCTGGGAGTTGCGGGAATAGAGATATCAGAACCCTGCCCTGGGAGTTAAAATGGTTTAGAGTTATTTAAAATAAGGTAAACAATAAAAGGCAGGCTAGCTGTGCTGATAGACGTGCTTAATGCTAAGCTACCTGGCAGATGCAGCCTGCCTCAGCATTTGGAAATGAATTGCTTGGGCTCTATAAGCACTTGAGCAAAGTGAAAGTGATACTGTGATGGGTGATAACTTGAAGCAGCCTTTAAAAAGAAATCAGATAGAGATAAATCCAGGGAAGAACGATACAGAGGTTAAGAGCCATAGTGAGAAATAAGCTCTTGCTTTCCTGTTTCACTTCTCCCAGCTTCTGCTGGTGTGTCAATAGCAGTGGGTGGCTTGGAGCAAATGCTTTCAAAAGCCAGCCCCCTCCTCCCGGCTCTGCTCCCAGAGCTCAAGCAAAGAGCAGGAGAAACCCCTTGCAGCTGCTTGGGGGATTTGGAAAGGAGTGTACCACTCCTGCCGTGCTCACGCTACTTCATTAAAGGTGATCATCACTGGTAGGATCCCAAATTCCTTCTGGTATGTACCATATTGTGAGGAAACCAGGAACCCGTGGCAGTCACTTGCCATGATCACTTGCTTATTTGCTTGTTTTAGCTTTTACCACTCTCTTTGATTAAGAGTGCCAATTAGAAAATCTCTAAAATTAGTTTCTCTGAATTTTCAAGCTGGCTGTAAATGGAACTGCTTCTTTTTTTTTTCTAAATCCATTAAGTTTACATAAAACTTGCAGAGACGGCAATCTCTAGGGCTTGTTTCTGCCTGCCAGAATTATGAAATAAATACTTTGTCATAAAGAAGCCATTCACTGGATATTAAATTACTCATGGGTACCAGTTAGTGAAACAGAGTGCCAGTAACTCAGCTCTAGTTAGGTAAGAAGCTGTGGCAGAAGAGAGTGCTGAAAAGGTAAACCTCTGTATTAATAAATGCAAGAAAACTACCCAATATTGACATTTTCCTTAATTGAGTCCATCTGAACTCTGCAAATGTGAAAGAGGAGGACAAATTCAGACTTTGCAAGCAGCTTTGTAATTGCAGTTGTTTTAAATGAGAGGATAAGGTAGAAAAAAGGAAAGCTTTCATCTCAGAGTTACTGTTGCTAGACTTGTTGCACTTTTTAAAAGTAAGACATAGTCATCGATGGGAAGATGTGTGTCCTGTTCTCCACTTGCGTAATTCCAGCAGCATTACTAAAAGGGACAGTTTTGTGCTGGCTCCTTTTTCTGTGCCCCAAAGAAAGACAAAATTGTTTATTCTCAGCACCAAAGGAAATCAAAACCAGAAGCCATATATTTACTGGCGGACTGAGACATGAGAACTGATGATGCTCTTTTCCCTGCTGCTTCCTGTTGTAATTATTTCCATTTTCTTTCTGAAATGTATTGCATGGTGAAGGGTTATCCATGTAGAAGGGCAGTAACCCGAAGCGCCCTGGCTCTCTCACGCTTGCAGACTTTCTGAAATGCCTTCTGGCTAAAAGTGCCACTGATGGTTGCATTTCCAAACGATTTCATCTCTTTGCTAGTGATATGGAGAGGAGGATATTCTGTTTAAAAAGTGATCTAGCCAGTATCAAGTTAGCCTTTTGAGAGTGTCTGTCCTGCAGTAGCTGTTTCTTGAATTCAGAGAGTGGTTGATGCAGTTTCTGTCCTGTGGTGGCTGCTGTAACGTGAATTTCCAGAAGTAACATAACTGGAGGAACTGAAAACCACAATTTTTGTAAGACTTGCTCATGATTCTGGATTATAATAATGTCCTACGTTACTTTGGAGAGACATTAGAGAATATTGGGGTGAAAAAAAAGCAGGAAAAGTGTGTGGATTTGGACTTTGTTAAGGAGGAAATAACCAGACTCCATTTTTGAATGGTGGATTTTCTTAAAATCAAGCTGAGCTCTGATCATAATAACACAGGGTCAAGTATTCTACTGCCACAGGCAACGGCACTGTACAAGCCTGTCCACAAATGTTTCCGTCCCCTTGTGCCTTCTTCAGATCCCTTACGGTCTGCCTTGCTTTCGGTTCTCCAGGTGCATCGGCTACCTGTGCAGGACTGCCACAAATATTCGGACTGTGAGCAGTGTACTCAAGCGAAGGATCCGTACTGCGGTTGGTGTGTGAGAGAGGGCAGGTGAGTGCTGCCGGTGCTTTTTTGGGTGCAAGCAGTGGAATATCTCAAATCTCGACACGTGCCGTGGGTTACTGCTCGTGTAGCAATCCCAGCTTTTTGTACTCAGCCTTACGCTCCTGATAGTGATTTAATTTTATCACGCAGACACTGATATCCATCTTCTGTGCACACAAATAAGTTCCCATTGACTTCTGCAGATTTGATTAGTTTGGGAAAATATATGATTTTCTGCTGGTACTGAAAATCAGTATGCATCTTCTAACTGCATGTGGTATCACTCTCTGAAATGTACAGTCAAATGTTCTCCCAGAAATTAAAAGAGTGGTCCCTTATTTAAAATTCAGAAAATATAGCATATATTTTAAGTAGAGCAGGAAAGTGTAAAAAAAGCATAAAAGAAAAAACTGTTCATGTCTGAAATAAATTACATAGCTCAAACGCTGTTTTTATATATGTCTACCAAGATATGTAGCTACACTGAACCCTCACCTAACTGTAGGAGAGCAGAAGGTGGCATTTGGCTGACTATCTGCAGAGGTTAACTGAATTAATATTCAAACACGTGTAAACTAGGACAGCACTGAACAGCTCTGGAATGTCTCTTCTCTGCACTCTGCGTTGATTGGAGTGGCGAGAGGGAAGATCGGTCCTGCAGCTCTCTTTTTGACTACTAAGTTAATTAACCCCTTGGCATGAGCAGTTGGGAATTCGTGATTCTAAGTACTTGCTGTTGTAACAAAGGGGCTATTTAATTATAGTATGCAGATGAATTTCAGGCTTCTAGCTTCCCGTCTGAAAATGTGAACTATCACATTAAGTTACCCATCAGCCTGATGTGTAGCATAATATGGAGCACTGCAGAGAAACTCATGCAGTGCATGCAGGTTTTGTAATACACTGTAACTCTTCCAGCCTGGGTTTTGGTTGCTGTGGTTGAAACCTGGGGATTTGGAATATACACCTCAAACTCCTCCTGAGCAGCTGGGAGTTGAACGCTGTGTCATATATCATACAGCAGGCAATTTTCCCTAGATTTCCCTTCAGGTTTCTGATATGACCGCTGACCTCAATACCTCAAAATATTAATGGTCTCTGAGAATAGGCAAACATGATTTTTTTTTGCATTTACTAGTGTTTTTTCCAGTGGAAGAAAAAAAGATGCTAAACTTCTAGCGTTTTTTTCATCTGCACCAAATTTTGTCTCATGAACACACTTAATTGTGTGTTTAGGGATATGTTGTATGACTGTAGACTCTGTGTGTAAATGATATCTTTAAGGGTAGGGTTGACAGAACTGTGCATCAACTGCACTGTGTTAAAGCCCCTGATGAGTTAATAGCCTCCTACTACAGCAGCCAGAGATCTTTCAACATTTTCTTCTAAACATTGCACAGAATGGAAAAAAGTACAGATGAGTCTGTCCCCACACACCACACACACTTCCACAAGCTTTTGTAGCCACATGTGCAGCTTCTTCACTTCAGCATCTCTTCTTTCTCTCCTTCCTGTACGTGAGCTGGGAAAATCTCCCAGTATTTTTGGTGAGATGGCACAACCACTGTTGTCTTCCCGTAATAGTAACGGTGCCCTGGCAGAGAGTGGTCTTAAAGGGAGCTCTCCACAAGTCTGTGTGCCCCCAGCAATACTTCTCTATTGCATTTTACTCTCATGAGTGGGTTGTCTAATTACTGGCAACACATAGGTGTCTGCTACTTTACCTGCAGAAAAAACAGGCTGTGCTCATTCATTCAGGACTTGGTTATATATTACAATGAAGATTAATCAGCCTGGTTTCAGATGATCAGGCAATGGCTCCATTGCCTGATGACTCCTCTGCTAAATATTAGTCCCACTGTATGGATTTGGGTTGTCTAATCCAAGGTGGTGTCCAAAATAGTATAGGCATGGTTCAATGCTTGCTTTTGACATCTCAAACCATCAATACTTATTCCACCACTTATTTGATTAAAAATTCTTTAATAACAACCTGAATAGTCAAATTCCCAGTCATCTTGTCTTGTAATTTCAGGCTCTAATCTTGAAATTGTTGCATAGCTCAGAGAAAGCAGAGTCTGGCTATAATACTGCCTTGCTTTGGTTTTTGTTGCTATTTTGTCAGGTGCACAAAGAAGGCAGACTGTGGAACAGCTGATAAGGAGAACCACTGGCTGTGGAGTCCAAGCGGCACATGCATGACTATCATCAGTGCAAACCCTCTAAACATGAGTCGAAGAGCTCCTGCTAAGGTATAACAAGAAAATGCTTTCTGTACATCTTCTTAAAGCACATTGATGTGACTACCAGGAAGATGAATATCTGCATTTCTTTATGCACGGTGGAGACTAGGAATAGGATAGTGTTTTGAGTATCTCAGTCCCTAACGTTTCTCACAGCGCTCTTTCTTGCCTGCTGTTTTTGCAGCTTGCGGTTCGAATTTTCTTCTAAGGAATGCTCTTTTTGACCTTCTCTGTAAACCAACATGATGCACTAGTATGGGTGATAAAGCTCTTACACTTATCTGAACATTATGAAAGTGTTGCACAAAGTTGTATAACCCATAAAAAATAATTGATAGAGGAGATTTCATGCTGCCCTTTCAGCTTACTTGAGCATAAACTTAAGTAAGCAGCGAAGCCATAAGCTGTTGCTTTAAAATCAGCAGTGGATTTGCCTACACAGCGAAGTCTGTCAGGGTACATGGAGAATGTAAATTCAGCATGCAAAATGACTCTGTTGCAACAAAACTGAGTGTTCAGAGTGTGACCAGGGTGTCCTAGCTTGCTCTAACTCCAAATGGAGCATGTCAGTGCAGACTGAGGGCTTCTTGGAGATGCCCAGCAAGTAAAGTCAGTAAAAAGGCTTTTAATCCCTCTTAATCAGAAAGAAAAAGACTTTCATTCAAGTCACTTTAATTCCATTCCTACATGATGTAAACAGCATTGTGTTAAGGCCATTTCTATGTTGAATAAAAATTTTAGAAGAGTGTAACTAGTCTACTTAAAATCCACACCTTCTCTTACTTCAGATCTTGTCAACTTATGTTGACAAGTCTCTGGTGTCTCATATCAGCATCTGAGGCCAAAATACCTAAACCCCAAAACCAAACCCAACTTCAAATGAGCATTTACATGCTGCTTGTAACATCACTAATGCCACTGTCTCCTCATGATTCCTTGGCTCAACAAAAAACCTCGCAGCTCATAACATAGTGGACAGGTTTCAATGAGAAAAGGACAATTGTCATTGCTACTGGCAATATAAAATGGAAAAAGTTAAACTGTAAAATTAACACACCTGAAGCGTTATATCAAGGACAGCATCCAAAATTTCATTTCAATTTTTTCCTTTTTCCTGGCTAAGTTTTCCCATTTTGTTTTTAGTTTCTCACTTGCATTCTGTGTTGATAATTTGCTCAAGGAGGTTAAAATCTCCACATCACTCAGAAATCCTTTTTCAGCAGTAATGATAGATCTCAGTGGGTTTCTTGCATATACATTGAGTCTTGAAGAAGCTACTTTTCTGTTCAAGCCTTTCAAACTCCAGCTTTTCCAGCCCATCCAGCCTTGGTTTCATTATTCACTAGTAGCACCTAAGCTTAATGTAATTTTAATTAAGTTTTTAAGTATTTAAGTGTTAACCACTCCATTTACTGTTGCTAAACTGGATACTGAGGACAAGAACAAAAGGCTTTGGGTGTGTCTGTACAGACATTTTTGTTCTGATATAATGCACTGACGGGACAGGATAAGTTTTTGTACCAGTGTAATTCAACACAGAATGAGCCTGGAAAAGTTGGTAGAGGTGTAAGAAGAAAAGATTAGCAGGTGGAAAGAAATAAAAATTGAAAAGGAGAACAATCTTATGTGATACAAAATATCACCGCTGGCCAAAATAAAAGAGCAGTTGAAATTCTCAGGCCATAAATCTTTCTGGGTCTTGGTTCGTTTCTGTCAAATATTTTACCCTTTTAAATTTTTTTTTCCAGGTGGAACTGACTGTAAGTCCATTACCAACTCTGACTGAGAGTGACCAGATTTTCTGTACATTTGGTGAAACAACCCATTATGCTCAATTAAAAGAAGGGGTTATTATCTGTGATCCGCCCGATATTATTCCTCCAACACCAAAAGGTCAAGGTAAAGAAATATTGCTAGCCTGCATGTATAATAAGAGGAAAGAACATAGCCTGCTGCTTTTAATGTGATGCTCTTATATGAGCTGCGTACAAGTTTTATTCCCTTTTCTAGTCCCTTTCCGCCAATAGTCTATTACTGAACTTTGTTCATTCGAACATTCAAAAAAGAAAAAGGTTTGCTCAAACTTTTTCCATTGCTGTATTTACAAGCCGTAGCATTCCCAGTGTTTCTACCAGGAACCTGAAACAGGAGCTTGGCAGAAACATAGACATGGAGCCAGAGGGGTGCTATTCTGTGTCCCAGACAAATAAAACCCAGCTACTCTAGTCTTACCCTAATCACTCTGAGTTGTGGGGCCAGAGGAGCGCTTCAGATGTGAAGTTTTTCATCTCTGATGTCTTAGTTTTGCTCTAGTCAGCTGTAGTTCAGTGTTTCAGGCTTGTTTTCTGGTCCATGTCACAAGGCTGTCCTTTGTCTCATAAAGCCTTCTGCTGCTTCTAGTATGTGCCTTCCAGCTTCTGCAATAGTAAGTCCAGTGGAAAAATATGTGATCATACAATTAAAGGCTGTATCATTGTTCTGAGCCACTGATTATATGCGTATGGTCCGTTGCCAGCTGTAATTCTTGTGCTGTTTCCTAGATAGTGCTTTATTTGTGCTTTAAGTTCATACATCTTGATGCATAAACACATGGAGTAAAAGTGGTTACACAGCACTGCTTATTATGTATCATTTTTTTAAAAAACAAAACAAAACAAAAAAAAGCCCAAAACACAGGTGCTCTTGCAGCTTGCAGAGGTACCCCTGAGGATGATATGTATCACAACAGCCATGAACCGTCAGATCAGTACTTGGAAGCACTTTTTAAGTTAAGTTTCAATTCTCTTCAGGCTGAAACAGGTCAAAATCCAGTTTTAGTTGCAGGAAGAGTAATGATTGTAAAATCTCACTCTTAAGTTTTAAACTAGCCGGGATGTGTCACAATATCAGATTATGCTAAGTGTTAAAGCAGCAGTCCGTTATTTAGGGCCAGTTCACATTTCCTAAATATTTTGTAAAGTAGGACATAAAGCAACTGGGTTGATAAACATGACACCTTAATGTCTTCCAGCATAAAATGTGAGACTAGAAGTCTGTCAGGGATGGCACTAGAGTAACCAAGTCATCTAGAAATGATATGCCTCTGAGTTGGTTGCACAGGGATCCATCTGAAAGGATGTTCAAAAGCAATATAAAGATGCTCAGAAGCTTGGCAAACACTTCAGCAGAAGGCAGATGGTTTTGCACAGAGGCAGTGGTTCCTGGCAGCATGTGACAAACAGTCCAGAGCCATCCACTTACTCTTAACAAACTCTGTTGAGTTTGGAAAAGTCTGGATTGCTTTAGTTGTGGTTGGTTCCAAAGGGAATAGGACACTTCTAGAGAGGAAGGATGCTTTTTCACAGTCCCGTTGTTAGGAAATCCCCTGGCATTCCTACCAGTCTGAACTATTCAAGGGGACCCAGTGCAGGCAAAGGTGACTTCCAGCCAAGCAGCTAATGGTCTTCCAAGAACCTGTTCAAGGAAAGCAGAGTTTGAAATTGCCCAATAGCTTGTGAAATAGCTTGTCACAAGGGCGTAATGAATTCTGCAAAAGGTATTTCAAACAGCTTCGCTGAGGAAAGCACCAGTTTCTGAAGATAAATTTTCCACTCTTAGTTCAGTAATGATCCAGACAAGAAGTACATTTGTGGAGAAATCATGTACGGCAAACCGAAGATCACAAGTGCCTGTGGTAACTTAGCATTGCAGGCACTGTTGGGCATTAACCACAAAGATCACTTGCTTTAATTCACATGACCATGGCAGTTTTAATCCACAAATGAAACAAGTAATTTTACATGCAGACATACTCATATTTAAGATAATGTTTTATTTAAAATGACTGTTCTCGTGCCAGTTTTCATCTGTGTTCAATTATCTCCTTATTCAGTTTTTCTTGTTCTTCTAGACTCTTTAAAATTCTAGCATGATGATAGCACCACTGAGAAACACTTCTGTAAAACAAAGCTATTCTGTAATTTTACTTCTTCCCTTAATCCCATCTCTGCTTTTCCTCTGACAACTGTGTGCTGAAAAATTTGTAAAGCTTAAAGATCTAAAGTATAACAAGTCATGAGATCCAGAGTGTCAACCGTATAGTTACATATTTGCTTATGTCCTGTAAAATAGTAAAAGTATTGTAATTGTATCATTCAGCTCTAGAGCTAAAGAATTCAACAACCACTTAGATAATTTTTTTTCTTTTGTGATAGATCATGTTTCAGTTCCACTTCAGTTAACCTTTGGAAATAATAAGATATTTTTTGCGTCGCATACTTACCCTTTTTATGACTGTGAAGAAGCAATGAATCTTTTCAAAAATCAGCCGTGAGTATTTCAGCTTCTTTACTTAGGTGTTTAGATCCTGTAGCATGGTGTTTCAGGTAACTGGCAGCTGAGTTACTCAATCATTTAATAATTAAGCCTTTGGCACTCTCAAAATTTGCCGGTGTACAAATCTATTTTCGTACATTTTAATGGATTTTAAAAATGATTGAAGGGCACCAGGTGAGCCGGTAACATAAAACACGTGAAACAGGAATATTAATGTCACGTGTAATTAAAGGCCTGTTCATTGGGTTGCTGTTTGTGTAGCTGCTAATGTATCTGCAGGTGAGCTCTGTGGACATCTGCTTACCTACTTGTTCCCTCAAATGATAAATTGGTGCTTTGGGTTGCAGTGCATTAAAATAGGAAAGTCAAAGCTGGCTCTGCCCCCATCATCTGCCCTGCTCGAGATGTTGCTGCCCCTGGACAGACGCAGCCAACCCAAACCCCACTTTGTTCATCCATATGTATGGAGGCTGATCAAGACCATTTCCAGCCCTCTCAGACTTGATCTCAAAGTTTCTGAGAGGTGCTGTGGTTTTCTGATACTTGCTTAAATATTTAAGGGAGAAAATAGCTTTTGGGGGCTCTTGAACTGTTGTTACTATGAAGTTTTCAGCTTAATATAATAAGGACACCATAACAGATTGATCTACCTTCCATGAATAAAGAAGGAATTTCATTTACTTTTTTTGTCAGTGGGGGAGAAAGCCTGACAGTTTGTCATGACTATCATGTTATATTTGTAGATGCTATTCCTGTGCAAGCAATAGATGGAATTGCCAGTGGGACTGGAAGAGACATATCTGTGAAGAGTCCTCTTCAATACAGGATGTGATTAAACAAAATATGGTAATGTTTAAAAATAAAATTATTAGGTTTTTATTAGAACATTTCAATATTTTCTTTGCTTCTTCTCTTATATCAGTTGGTTGAATTAGGGATTTGAAAATGATTCTAAAGTTAACTCCAGAAGTGTAAGGTGGGGTTTTTTATAGCAACAGTGCGGGGGTTGGAATTTAAGGGTGTGATTGAGGAGGGGCAGTGAGACTGAATAACTCCTGAAAGGATATTTTTGTTCCTTTTACTATTTTGCTTCAATGGGAGGAACAAGATTTCAAGACTAGGAAAGATAATCACCCACAGCTTTGACATGTGCTGCAGTCATTTTTAGCATGTCTAATTTGAAAGGGTGTAATCAAATCTGTCACTGTATGTTAAGCATGAAGTTCTTCAGAACAATCATTCCATTGTCCGAAGGCCGTCAGAGCTTGTTGTGATAAGACTTTTTATTTGGAATAACGTATAAAATGTTTCTCTCTCCAGGAAGAAGACTGCCCGCAGTTTCTAAACCCTAACCCTCCAATAATACCTATGGAGTATCGAACAAAGGTGTATTTTGAGGGAAGACATCTAGCTTATTATCAGGTAAGCAGATTAATTCAAAGCTAGCTGTCATTTGAATTCCACTTAAACCGCAGCCACATGCCTAAGCTAAAGCATTAGTTTGTGTTCCTTGGAGATCCTGCTCATAAGTGTTTTTAAAGAAGGAAAAGAGCTACACATTCAAGTTGGATATAATGTTGGTTACTGTGGTAGAGTCATCACCAAGACAGAATCAGAGCTGGACAAAGTATTTTAACTACTAGATGTAGAATTTTTTTTAAAAGAATGTAAGTTGGACCTACGGAAACACTTGACAATTATTTTTCATGTAATGAAATGAGAGGAGATGTAGAGATTGTGAATGTTTCATATCTCTTTTCCAATTAAATACTCACTTTTTCTTGTTCTAGAATGTCATCACTCAGTGTACTTAATTCAGTTTTCACTTTTCAAACAAAAAAATGCACTCAGAAATTAAATGTTTCTTAGTTTGGGTAAAACAATCTTTTGGGGTTTTTTTTTGTGTGTGCGTGACCATCAAACCAGAAGATCAGGTATTTTCTCAGCTGTAGCAAAGGCTTCTCTTTCTCAGTACTTGCTTCCAGAAAGTAAATTACAAAGCTTCTAAGAAGCCAGAGTTTGACTCCAAGTTTTTAATTGTTTTATAACCTAGACAATGCATAAAATGTTATTGTTAGTGTGATAAAAACCAAGCTTAAGACTCACTTTAGGTGATGCCTCAAGTACTATCTTAGTTTCTGTTGTTTGTTTCTGTGTTGTCATTGTGTAAATTCGAATTGATGATAGATATGCTAGAGACTGCATCGATTGCTTTAACTACCAGCCATCTGTCAAGAGAAAGAAGGCTCTTGGTTTTTGAGGTGGTTTTTTTTTTATCCCTTTGCCAAATTGAAGTACTGTACAGCTTACAAAGTCCTTCTATTATCTCTGCTACTCCTGCCAAGGGATGGAATAGGGTAAACAGGTCTGGAGAGTAACAAGTGTTCAGAGAAGGGTAAAAAGCAACCCGTGGGCACTACAATCATATGAAGACCATGTTGTGTGTCTCTACACTATATATATATCAAGACCATGCTATACAAACATATGTTCAAAAATAAATATTTTTGTTTGAAGACCTTAAAATACATGTAAACAAAGAAAAGCAATTTGCTGAATTTGGTCCATTCTCCGAAATGCTGGGACTGGTCCCTGGTAGGATGTCTGACTGTGTGCAAGATGTGGCACACAACACTCCTCTTAAAGGCCACAGCTCTCTGCTAAAAATGGAAAAGTATTCCAGAGAATTTACTCACATTTCTTTTGTTTAACATTTTGAAGAGCTGTTTTTCTACAAAAGAGGAAAATCTTTCCCTGCTCCTGTGATATAAGTGGAAGAGTCCATTCTCTCTCGAGAGCAAATTCAGGGTAGATGCCAAATCTAGATATGCTGAATTTGACTTCTAGAGGACCTTTTTCCTCTGAGGAGGAGAAACAGTAGCAGGAGCCTGAAAACTCCTTCATCTTATTCTGTGAAAAAGCACTTTAATCTTTCTGAACTACTAGTAGAGAAAAGAGAACAAAAAGCTTCTACCTTTTTTTTTTCCACTGAAGTATCAATTACATTTAACAAAGGCAGAGACATATCTTGTGGACTGAGTGCTTTGTCATGGGTAGCAATGTTTTAACAGTTTGCCTACAGACCAGACCAGTCTGCATTTATTTAACTTGGAACTGGGAAGGCTTACGTGGAATTCAAGTCTCTATAAGAAGTAAGATGAATACACAGGGCCTGGGCTAGAAAGATGCTGGAGAGCGATGAGTGTCAAATGATGTCAGAATAATTTTTCTTAGGTGAGAACCATGTGAGAACATCATCTCTGTCATGGGAGCAGCCCCATATATCCTGGTACATAATAATGCCTTCAGTGCCAGGACTTGAATAGGCACACACAGTGACTTCAGCTGTATGCACAGACCTCTAAATATATGTGAAAACAAGTAAGGCACGAAATAGTTGTAATCACACAGGCGCTCGTGCCTGTGGGGTCATGCTATCTGAAGCAATAACTTTGGTTACTGAAAGTTCATTTGAGTAAGGGTATAACCTACACTCAGCCTGTGGTAAACATCTCATGGAGGGCAGGGTGGCTCAGGAGACGCCGTGGATGGGTATTTTGTAGGAGCTGGCCCACAGCCCAACTGCAAAATAGCATGTGGCTTCTCATGTGGAACAATTTTGCCACAGGATATGCTGGGAAATATGGTGTGTTTAGAGGTAGCAGTCATGCAGCTATGAGCACATTTAAGGTCTTTATTGATTAGGACATTGGTATATATCCATTTTCCTCCTATTTTCCTTGCCTAAATTCTTGCTTAGAAAAAGAAAAATGAATGTTCGGTTGTCACTTTGAACTACTAGCTCTATTATCTTGGTTTAATCTGTGCTTTGCTTAAAAGGGTGATGCACAACCTGTCTTATCATGGGTGGCTAAGTACACTAGCCAACATTGTGCATATAAGCATCTCTGTTTCCAGGTGGAGATTAGCAGTGAAGGTTTGGGCTTACTCAGTGAGTAGGAGAGGTGGATGGCTTCCAAAACTGCTATTGCAGAACTGAAGGTAGAAGAATAAGCTCACACATTTTGTACACACCACTTAACTTGTGAACGCTTACAGTACAATGAACAAATCTCCTCATGAGGATTTCCACTGGAGGAGAATAGACTAAAAGAGGAGAAGGTGATGACTGTTTTTCTGCCCTTCCTTCCTCTGAAAGAATTTCAGGAGGAAGGACAAGTAAATCCAAGCTATTGTCATTCTCTTGGGAATAGCCTCATCCAGGACAAGCAGTTGAGAGGAAAGTTTAGTACTGATGAGTTATATTGCATGCAATTTCTGAGAGACATTCTCCAGCTGAGTCCTTGAAAGACTGGCACGGTAGAAGAGACAGATGTACCAGCATCAAGATAACCTTATTAACCCTCTAAAGATTTTCATTAAAAATAATTTCCCATTTGGATTTGTCATGTGTATGTGATGTGTAACCCACTTCCCAGTGTTTGCTACATGTCTCTTTTTGCACCCAGACTGCTGAATGTGAGCTCTGTGGCCTTCTGCTCGAGACCCTGGTATGATTTCAGTTCGCTCCAGGTGGCAACTGTCACACACACCAAAGCTTCCCTCCTCTCCCAGCACCTTCTGTTGAGCATGTGGGAAAGCCTTATGCAGCAGCAGCAGAATTTGAACACTTTTGGAAAATACATGATGTATTGAAATGTAGAGTAGGGAAGGCAAGGCAGCATTCCTCAAAAAAGATATTTGTAAGGTGCTTTAAAACTTGGAGTATGTAGACGTTTTCTGTAAGGCAGAATGGGCTGCAAAACTTTTAGAAAAGCTTTTCAGAGCTCAATCAGTAGCTTATTTTCTATATGCTGCTTCTGAGAAGGAAGAAGTAAAAGATCTGTTCCCTTCTATAACATAAACCTCCCAGAGACTGGAGATAGGCCCTTTACCTGGTTAAAGTGTGTGCTCCTCCTCAGCGCCAGACCTTGGTGGGCTCTTGTGTCTGCTACTCAACCTGTCACAGTGAAGGTGCAATAGGAAAGGTTTTCACTGCCCCAGTGAGATAAACCTAGTGGCCCGTGAGTTACTCGTGCTTCCAGCATTGAAACATAGCTACAAATAAACAGGATAAGGTCCTCCTACATGAGGCTTAGATGACAGCAGGAGACAACTTACTAACACTCAGAACAGAAAAGAGGAATCAAGTAACCGTTATTTTTTTACCATATACTCCAAGACTCAAGCAGTTCTGGAAAAAGCAGGGACTAGTTCTTTACATCCACAGAAGGCATCAAAGTGAAGTTCTCATGAAGTTCAACAAGGCCACGTGCATTGGTATGCCCAATATCAATACAGACTGAAGGATTAATGAATTGAGAATAGCCTTGTGGAAAAGGACTTGGGGATACTGGTGGATGAAAAATTAGATATGAGCCAGCAATGTGCACTTGCAGCCCAGAAAGCCCAGCTCTGGGGTCCTCAGCAGAGGAAAACCATGGATCTGTTGGAGTGAGTCCAGAGAAGGGCCATGAAAATGATCAGAGGACTGGAACACCTCTCCTATGAGGAAAGGCTGAGAGAGTTGAGGTTGTTTAGCCTGGAGAAGAAAAGGCTTCAGCAAGACTTTTTTTTGTGGCCTTTCAATATAAAAAGGAGGCTTATAAGAAAGATGTAGAGAAACTTTTTACTAAGGTCTGTAGTGACAGGACAAGGGACAGCAGTTTTAAACTGAGAGGGGGTAGATTTAGATTGGATATGAGGAAGAAATTTCTTACGATGCAGGTGGTGAGACACTGGGACAGATTGCCCAGAGAAGTTGTGAGTGCCTCATCCCTGGAAGTTTTCAAGGTCAAGTTGGACAGGGCTTTGAGTAACTTTATCTAGTGAAAGATGTCCGTGCCCATGGCAGGGGGATTGGACTAGGTGATCTTTGAAGGTCCCTTCCAACCCAGGCCATTCTGTGATTCTAAAAAGGTGAAGATGGTCTTATTCCCCAGTGGGCTCTGATTTCATAAGCCTTTACCAACAATACTGTCTGAAAATGTCCTTGCTACTTCTTTCTTTCTCTGGTTCTTCTGGCAAAGCTCTTCACACAGCTGTGCTGTGGGCCAGAGCAGGAGAATGACCCAGCACAGAAACAGTGTCATGGGGTGATGTGTTTGGGTTTTAGCCAGCTCAGTTCCTCAGTTGAATCACAGAGAAGCCGAGCTGAGAGTTTTGCCAGTGTAGCACAGGTTGATATGTGCTGCAACCTAAAGGCAGGAATTAATGAATTTAGAGTGTAGGGAGATGAGAGAAGGAAGAAAGTGTCTAGGAGGCAGGAATACCCTTAAGCTGGTGCTGCCATCAAAGACTGTCCTGTGAAAACACAGCTGGAGTTGTGGTAAGTCAGGAGAAACAAAGCCGGCAAGGTCTGAGAGATGTTCATTCCAGTTTTCCATGTCATTCTTGCATTCATGCTCTGCCCAGCATCCCTACAGAGAAAACCTTAAAGGGCAGAACTCACACAGCTCTGTTAATAACACATCTGATGTGTGAAACCATCCAGTATTCACATCTCTTGGCTTTTTCTTCTTGCTCCCTGAAACAGAGTGCTAGATATAGAATCATAGAATCGTTTGGGTTGGAAGGGACCTCAAAGATCATCTAGTTCCAACTCCCCTGCCATGGGCAGCGAAACCCTCCACTACACCAGGTTGCCCAAAGCCTCATCCAACCTGGCCTTGAACACCTCCAGGGATGGGGCATCTACAACTTCTCTGGGCAACCTGTTCTAGTGCCTCACCACCCTCTGAGTGAAAAGTTTCTTCCTTAGATCTAATCTATCTATCATCCACAGCCACCCATTGCTGAATGAGCTCAAGACACGTTTGAAAGCCAGCCCAACATACCCACGGTCATTGTGCTAAGCCATTCTGAATTAAGGCCCATGACACCCACCTACTTCAATGCACAGCTTTTTTTTGTTGTTTGGAAACCCAAGAGCAATTGTAATAAGACGGATAAAACATCTTCTGGCCCAACACCCTTCCCTGAGAACAGATGTCACTCACTTTTTGCTGAGCAGCCCAAACTAGTCATGAGGTTATTTCTGTTCTCCGGGAGACTGAGCCCTCCCGGGGCCAATTCAGCTCCCTTAGTTCAGGTGCTTATCTCAGGCTCACATGACTCGCCTCAGCCTTCCCTTCCCTCTCTCTCCTCTGATGATAGAGGTTGCCTTAAATAGCCATACAGAGCTAGAAGTTTGATGTCCCGTTGAAGACAGTCAGGGAAGACGAACCATATTTTAACAATGGCCAGCAGCAGCCACTTGAAGATCATTCACTTTACATCCCAAACACCCTCCTGGACTCCTAGGAAAATAAGTCTGGGGACTTTCTAAACTAGAAGTTGCACCAAGGCTTTTAAGTTACCAACGGCCTTATTTTCTATGTAGGTGCCTAATCTTTTCTTTGTATCACTGGCATCCAAAACCTTCCTGCAGCAATTTCATGACTTAACTCTGCCTTGAACAGAAGAAGCAGCAGAAGAGGGAGCTGAACTTACTTTGCTTTTAAGCCTGCTGTCTGATAATTATATTTTTCCTAGTCGATACTTTTAAATTGCATCATATTTTCTCTCTCTTGCTTCCACCCCCCCGCAACTGAAAAGTCTTTCTTCAAAGGAAAGCTGCTTCAGTCTTTTTCACACTAAAGTCTCCTCTTCTTCTCTATTTCTGTTTTTGTTTTCAGGTGGAATGACCGGAATTCTCCACCTTATCTAAGACACAAATATTTATGGATCTGTAGCGTTACAGGGATAATTCTGATTTTGTTCTCTACTCTTCTCAGTATTTTTTATTTACCTTACTGAGCATCACTGCACACTGAACTGACGTATGTTCTTTATTTGTACTGCTTGGTGCTTCCATCTTTAACGAACGTTAGAGGAGTGCAGCAAAGTAGAAGATTGCACTGGCTCAGTGTTTCACTGGCTTTGTTTTCAGAAGATGGCTTTGACTGGTTAGCCTTCTCCATTTGGTCTTATTACTTCCAGTACTGAACAGGATATTATTGCCTGATGATATTTTATTGCATTTGGTGATGCTATACGAATTCTAAGCTGAACTTTTCTCTTCCATAGAATAAAGAATTTGTCGTTGGAAACAGCCAATTTGAATTCGAAGCTTCTGTTGAATCAGATGAAGGAAAATTTTCATTCATGAGTAAAGAGGTAAATGCAAAAATATGATTCACCTACTAAACATATTCGGTTCTTATAGACCTGTTCCAGTGTCCATACGTGTCCAGAAATACACAGGTAATATTGGTTTCCCTCAGAGAAGACAGTAACCTCTGAAGGAGGTTCTCCTTTGGCAGTAGCAGTCAAAGGCAGCAGCTTTGGCTCACAGCTCCTGAGGTCTCCTCTCAAAGCCCTCGATCTTTCTCCCTGATTTCTCTACCTGTTCAATCCATGGATTCACTGGGCTGTCCTTGGAAGAATTCAGGACCATTACTCTTTTATTCTTCACTTTTTATGCAATCTGGTGAAATCATTGAGAATAAAAGACGAGAATTTCAGAACTCTGCCTCTCCACACTCCAATTCATTATCTTTCCCATTTTACATCTGTAAAAATGGGAATGGTAACAATACGTTGTTGTTTGGCTACTTACTAGCTATGCTTCTTTCACTCTGCTTTATTTTACAGAGAAAGGAAATAATATTTTTTAAAAAATAGTCTATTTACCAAACTCAAAGTTGGACTCACAAATGTTATGCTGACTTTAAACATTATGGCTTATAAGCTTACTAACAGAGTAGTTTTGAGAACTAGTTGGCATTTATGCAGCATTTGATCCTAGCACAAAGCATTTGCTTTATAAAGCCATTGTATTTTTCTTTGCTCTTTTTCTTTCCCACCGGTTGTTATTGCTGTTGCCTTTCAACCTGAGCAGAAGCTCATGTCTTGGAGCACGTGAACCTTGTGCTTTGGCTATAACGAGGGGGATGTGCTGCAAAAGATGCAAGAGATTTCCCCTCCGTGTGGTATGAGTCTGCCATGTCCACAGAAGTAATGGGGCCAGATGGTGTGGGAAGGGACAACTCAGCAGGATCAGCAGCTATACTTACTGAATCTGAACAGTACCTTTGCTACTTGGATACTTATAACCAAATGTAAATTAAATTAATGAGAAGCAGGTATTCAGATATGCTGTCCCTTGGTACTTGAAAATTCTGATTGTGAAGGATTAGGTTCATTAAAATGTTTTTCTGTAAATGTATTTGGCCAAGATGAAAGAGAGACCATAAGGTTTCAGATAGTTTCTAAAACCTTCACAGCTCTGATTATTGTGAATCATAGAAAACACATGAAATTAACCTTAGCGAATGAAGATATAAATATCTCTATTGTGTCATCTTTTCCAGTTCTCCTATAGTGCAAATGAGACCTTACAGCTTAACTTATCCATAAGAGCAGATAAGGTCAAGATTGACAGCAAACTGATGGGTAAGTATGAAATATGGGATTAAAGGGAGGTTAATTACAGTAAACAGAAATCTATTCTTTCATAATTTCTAGTCATGTGAACAAGAATGTTACCTTTGTAGGTTTTACTGGTTTGAGTGAAACAATTAAATCTGACAAATGAAAAGTTATAAATACTAAACTCATGAATTAAACATCAGTGTTGTATATATTAAAGGCTGTTTTAAATATGCTACCATTATTTTCAAGTTTGCTTTTGCTCTGAAGGGCAATCCTAATAGCGAAGCTTCACAGTTCAAACGTACTGAAGTAGTTTGATTTTATTTTTTTCAATAGCCATTTCCCTTCTCTAATGAACTTTCTCCCTGCAGTAGCAGAAAGGGGATCCTTCTTACTGTTGCTTGTATGGACTTCACCTGAAATCTCAGCTTTCAGTTGTGTATCAGCTCAGACAGGTTCTGCAGTCTTTACATCTGCTGGCAATCAGCAATATACATAAACATGGAGTGTGCTTTCAGCTCATTCCTTTATTCATTTATTTCTATGGTAACAAAAAGTATATCAAGTATTTTATAGCACAAAGACTTAGTCTCTGATATAAATTCCTTTATAAATACTTTTTTTTTTTTATTTCTTTCAACATACAATGATGAAGCAATTATGTCTGTGACCCTAGCCCTGAGCTGAGGAAGCTCCATCAAAATCAGTGGAGCAGTGTCTGGGAGCTAGAACATACCTTACAGTCCTTTGGACTGAAGTTTAAGGCATAATCTTACAAAAACTGTGAGGCAACACACTTGTTACTTGTGTGATGAGTCAATGTCAGGAAAACTAATACTGCCCCCAAGTAATTTCCCCTGCAGATAGATCTTCAGACCATATTTTTCCATTTGTACAATATTTAAATTTATTCCCTTTCTTATTGGCAGCATAGAAGTATGTTTTTAGAAGATTTTCCCTATGGCTCTGTGTGCAATGTTGAAAGCACTTAAAAGAGGACCTGGCATGAATGTTACGAGGAGGTCATATTACAATCTCATACTGTCTTAATTTCCATTCCAAAGGCTGTGTTGTTTAAAACTGCAGAATTTTGACCAAATATTCACAACGTATTTTTTTCCCAGTCTGCAAAAAACATAGAAAAAAGAGGTAGCTAAATTATTAAAGAAATGTTATCATTTAAATTGAAATATAGAACCCTTGCAAGAGGGGAATTGAAAAATTATCAACAAATGTCTATTATAAAAGGGATCTTTTTAATCCAAATTCTCTCCTGCTTTTAAATTTCCTTGCCCTATGAAATCCAGAGCACAATGTTTTTTATGCATCTTGAAAAGAATTGGCTTTGAGTATATGGTTGCTGCTGAGAAGCACCTTTGAACCTGCCAGTGAAAGAACCCTTTCTTTGTATAACACTTAGTGAATACTAAGTTACGATAGCGTTTTTACATCTCAAGCCATCAGGGGTTCTGAACAGTATGAAATCCAATATATCCCTTTTATCCTTTGTCCTTTTTATCAATGATTTCACAGCTGGTATCTCAAGGTGATGGATAAGAGTTTGAATCTAATGAGTGGCTTGCTGCTGGTACATTTAATGAGCTGATCAGTGAACAAGGGGAGTGTTTAATGCTTTAAGGCCGTAGCTTTCTCTGTTGCATTTGTGCAACTGGATGCCAGGGACATCAAGACGTTGCAGGGCTGACATTGTTTACTAAGGGATGGGATGAAAATCCCTGTCCAGCTGATGAAGGATAACAAAGTCATTCAGTAAGTGTATTCCTGTGCCATACCAGGTGGCCATGTGGCTGTGTGGGTGGGTAACACAGGGTTTAAGAAGGCAAGGGGAAGATTTTTTAACAATATTACCTGCTCAAGTCCCTGTGCAGTAGCAATCTTTCAGAGTGCTGGATTAAGAAAGCAATCTGGTTCCTGCAAAAGCAATTCACAGCGCAGAGTCGAGGACACTTTTCCTTGCTGCTGCCTGCACCATCTCTTCTGCCTATAAAAGCAAACGGCAACGTACCAGGGCTGTCAATCTGGTGCTTTTCTCCAGTGCTACATTCACATCCAAATACAGAGTAAATAGTTAGCACACAAACTGTTGAAAATATTGTTTGGATTGTGTTTGTTACTCAGTGACTTCTGTATTAATGTGCTCAGTATATGAAGCAAATGATGCTACTCCTGCTTTGTGCTCATCGACTCCTTGAGAATTCAAGATAGGGGTTGAATCAAATGGATGCTCTTTCTCATCGATTCATTGTTACAAATGCCAAAGTCCCTCAGTTTTGCATACATCTCCAATGATGTCTCAACTGAGTTTGTGCTGGTACAGCTACTCAAAATCAAGTGGATATGCTGATTAGATGTAAGAAGGGTTAAAAACAGGCTTCATCATTGCATTAACTCTTCAGTGTAAGGAAAGAATAAAAACGTGTTGTTCTGTTAAAGACTAGCTGCGAAACTGGATGCTGAGGTTTTTAAATATGCAGCATTTGGAGGAAAACTGCGCTTATGAGGTTATATGCTTTCATGCAAGTGGCAGAGAGACTGTAGCCAAGTTTTGGGCATCTGTAATATTGTTCATGCCTAGCAGGGGAATAAGGGCACTGCTGAAAAATCATGGAAAACCAGCATTCTCATCTTACTTTTTCATTTTAGTAGAAATCTGACATGGCAACCTCTTGGAATTAGATTTAAAAAGCTACTGCTGTGGCTATTATCTAGGAAGATATCAAATGCATTGAAATGCCAGTAACTGGAGGGTGGTTTTGCTGGTGTCCTTCCTAGGGTCCTGCTCTTCTGAGAATAAAAGCTTTCCTTAAATAGATATTTTTGATGGCCTTTGCCATATGCAATCTCAAAGGGATTTGTCCTAGTCTCTCTTGCCCACATGTGATTACCTCTGTTTACTTCATTTTACTTCCTGCATCTTTGAGGATGAAACTCCTTTGAAAAAAAACCCAGTGTCATGAAGGGTACCAATTCTTGAGACTTAATGAGCACATAAAACAGCTACTGGAAAGGGGAGATGTTGAGTCTCTGTCTTGTACTCCCCACTCCCATCTGTGAGCACATTTAACTCTTGAAAGAGCACGGGAGGAAACCTGAATAGCTTTCCTCTCCTCTGGTATGTTAAGTTGATTTACAAGAAGACGCAACAAGTGCCAGAGCCTCAGTGGCAGAAGGTGAGGCTGTGCAGCCAGAAAAAAAGAGCAGCCGAAGAGTAGAGCAAAGCAGGGATGAAAGGAAGAAGCAGAAAAGAAGGGAGCAGGCATTTTTCCCCTCTACTATAATCAGCTCGCCTTCCCAGGGAAGCACAGCACTACACTCTGAGTAATCTGTGCAACTTGCACACTTCCCCTAGAGAAACGTGTGGCACCTTTTCAGCCTGTTTTCTTCTGGGCTTCTTCTTCTCAAGTGCATCTCCAAATGTTTTGCTGCAAGCCCAGGCTTTCTGTATGCTGCTGAAAATGTCTCAAGGCTTCACATCTGTTTGAGAAAATTAATTTTGTTCAGTGACTATGCATCATGCTAGAGACTGATAGGGGCCAAAACAAGCTTAGTGTCTGGGGCAAACGCTGCATGGTTCATCAGTAAGACAGGCGTGACTGTCAAACCTGATTTCTTGGCTCAGAAAAGCTAGAATTAAACTCCACTACAGAAGGAATAAGGCATACATCAGGACGGCAATTCAAGACAAAAGGGAAAACAAAAGCAAGAAAATAGAGAAGAATGGAGAAATGAAGAGGTATTAAGTTGAACAAAGGATAACACTTCATTAAGTGTTTACTTTCTATTTGGTTCAGGCTTTAGTGAGGATTTTGGAAAGGAATATTTTTTTGTATTCCTAAATATCCTGGAAGTGGCCAACAAAGGCAGCTCTCTTCCTTTGGATATCCGACTGGCAGAGGTCCCATGCCAGCAGATATCTGTCCCTACTGGTACCCATGCAGAGTTTATACCCCTCCATGTCTGACTCCTGGTACGCCAGGAGGACCTGTTTGTTTGAACTAGTCTTTGAACATTTGTATGGGCAGGTTCATTGAGGGTAGTCAAAGAAAAGATTTTGTACTTAAATGTTTTGACAATGTCTGAGTGACAAAAATGTATTTGGGTTCTGCCCGATAGTTTATTCAAACTGTGTACATGGATAAATTTCAGGTTTTTCCATACAGGGAAAAATACAATTTTCTCTCAGCATCATTCAAGGGTTAAGCACAGAGCGTGCATATTCTTCACACGACTCAACTGAGCAACAGGCAGGCTTTGTACGTAGGATTAGTTTTACTTTCTGTAACACACTGAATATCCTTAAAACAGAGGAAAATGTCTAAGTGCATTTGCCATTCATATTTCAGTGACTCTGTACAACTGCTCTTATGGACGAAGCGACTGCAGCTTATGCCTCGCGGCCCATGACGACTATAAGTGTGTCTGGTGTGAAGAAGATGGCAAGCCCAGCAAGTGTGTTTATGAAAAGCTCTGTCACGCTCCTCCTACTGACACATGTCCTCATCCAGAAATCACTCGCGTAAGATTGCTTTTTTCTCTCCCTACCAGTGTATTATTTTTCAAGAGAAAGCATCCAAGCAAGCTCATACTGAAAGGCAGTTTTTTTCCTAGGGTGTTAAGTAAGCCTCTGAAATAGCTTCAAGGAAATAATGCCAGTAGTGATGTGAGTGAGAGATTTGTAAAGACTCAAAATAAGAGAGTGAATGGAGTCTTTGAGACTCCTTGTTTTTCAAGCCTTGTCCTTACTGTGCCAAAAGCCAGGCTAGCAGTGTACGCTTAAATGTGGCACTTGATTCTTGGGGATTATAGAATCATAGAATCATAGAATGGTTCGTGGCACTTGATTCTTGGGGATTAGCATGGATTTCTTACTCTCCTAAAGTTCTTTCTACCTGAAATAAGTCTGTAAAATGGATTTCTTACTCTCCTGAAGTTCTTTCTACCTGAAATAAGTCTGTAAAAGAGGTTCTCTGCTCCCGGAACTACAAGCACTTAGCAGGCTCAATAACAGGCGTCAAACTAGACTTTTAAATAGTATTTAATAAGGGAGCAGGTTGTTTCTGTGTCACAATGTGTTTTCCAGGTGTGAGTGGTATTTTCCAGTCCACACTGGAATTAAACCCAAGGCTGTAGAAGTTGAATGTAAGAAGTCAGAGAGGCCAAATGTGCACCCCTGACTTACTCTGCAGTTGGAGGAGCATTCACCCAGGGCAAGGGAAGAGCATTGTCCACCTTGGTGGACCAGTAGCCAAAGCAAGAAGTGATGAAGCCTTGTCCTTTTCAGCAGCAAGCCAAATGCTGTTTTTCTGGGCATAGTTGTCAACAAAAGAGTGAGATGTATTTCCCTTAGGCAAATCCGAAGTGCTGTGACAGTGGTACTTTGAAACTCAGACACACCATTTGATGAAGACTTATCCCAAGTTATCACAGAGTGCGGTAACCGTATGACAGAGGTTTAGAGTTGTAACTGGGATGTTTGAAACCTGTGACTCAAACTGGTAGAAACGCTGAATCTCCTGAGGCTGTGCAGTTAGAGGTGCAGTGTAGGTACAGGCAGACCAGCTGCACACTGGATGAGGTTGGCCAAGATGGTGTACCTAAGAAGAAATGGCAGGTGAACAGTTGACTGCCAAGGAAGGCAAATACTCTGAAATCCCGACAGAAAGTGTGGAGAGGAATGTTTGTGTGATAGCTGTGCCCAGATAAAGATGATTTAAGTGGGAAGGAAAATGAAAATTAAGAAAAATAAAAGTGTTTCCACCTGAGGTACTGTTTCTACATGATTGTGGCTTAAATACTAAGTACTAAAAGACTGTTTTTTTCAAAGCTTTCATTACCTTCAGATTTGAACAAAATATTTGGAAACATCTACACAAACCATTGAGTCATTTTTCAGCTAGTTTATTTACAGGTTGAGTGCAAAGGGATGGCCAGTGGGCAGAAGTTTTAGGAAGTTGAACCAGTGGGAAATCAGAGCAAGTGATTCGGAGCTGGACGGGGCAGCAGCAGCCATGTCTCCGTATTCAGACTTGCTTAGATCTGAGAAACTCTGATTTTGATGGAGCAGACATTAAAGTCCAGACTTTCAGAAGCTGTGTGTGTTTGGCTTCCAATTACTGCATTTGGGACTGTGCAGCCTCCCTCTTCTTGATGGTAAACTTGCAGCCGTCCAAAGCTGAAGACCTGAAATGAACTTGCTGGAGATGGTCCAAATATTACATAGGAAAGCAGGTTATTCCCCCAACAAATATTCAGAATTCAAGTGTCTGTTCAGGCCATATTTCAATCTGAGAAGTCCACTGCAACCACAGGATTTTCTCAATCCTCATTTCAATTGCAAATTATTTAATTAGCATCAGCCCATGTACTGCAGAATCCTGCCATTTGATGCAGTAAGGAAGATCAGAGGACTAGATGAACTTGTGAAGACACTCTGGGGCAGCACTGTGTCTTAGGAAGGTGCACTGTTCTGATGTGGACCTAAAGAGAGAAAATCATGGCAAAAAAATGCTGGAAAAGCTCCGTGTAATGATTGTGAGAGGAGCCCAATCCATTTGCTTTTCAAAATCATAGTGCTTTACTGGAGGAAGCAAACTTAAAACAGAGTAAACACCAGGCAAAGGTTTTGTACATAACAGTCTGCCACAGGAGACACAAAATCTGCAGCTGTTGAATACTGGTTCTGAGCTAGCAAATGATTATTTAACATTAGAAAGTTACATAGCATGTTTTTGTGGGTGTCCTACAAGAAACACCTTTTGCATTTTAGGCGCAAGTAAGTCAAAGTGGCTTTAAATAATATGGAAGAGCAACATGGTCACTGCAATATTTAATTTTGCTTTTTTTTTTACTTTCCCTCATGCAAACACAGATTGAGCCAAAAACTGGACCACTAAGTGGTGGAATTCTTTTGACCATAATGGGATCTAATTTGGGAATAAAAGCAGAAGATGTAAAAAATATAACAGTGGCAGACGAGGAATGTCTTTTCAAAGAGGAATTCTACTCTGTTTCCACAAGGTAATTGCTGGTTATTTTTCACAAGATTTTAGAATAAAAAGAGCACTTATGTGCATTCTCAGAAGGTGATCTTCCTGTGGTTACAAAAGCGTATCAATAGAGGAAAGAACTAGTACGATATACCTGCAATGTTTCATAGTAACATGTCTGAGTCTTTATTTTAAATTGTTATAGATTCTTATACAGCAACAAATTTATAATAGCTTACTACCGTCCTGCTTCTGATTGATTGATTTTTTTTTTCCTTATTTGTTTGAAAAGCTTTCATAAACTGTTACTGCGGATACCTCAGACTTTGTTTTTAAATTAAAGACATCGTAAGTGTGCGTCTAGTCATTAAAATCTTTGCTAAATCTGAACCATGATGCAGCTGAGCATACAAGATTTATGGGAAAGTAGACTAAGCAGGAGGAAGCTTAAATCTTTTTGGTTTAGTCCAGCCACAAAGTTTCTTTCCTGGCGGCAGGGAGGGAGCCTGGAGTTTTAGTTTAGCTTTAGATGGCTAAGTTTCGTTGCAGAGCCAACAAGTCCATGGAAGCTGAATTGCCTAAGCAGGTTGGTAGATGTTTTGTGGATTACTTGTCACACTCTTAAGCAGTGCCAAAAATTAAAACAAAGTGCTTAAATTCTCCGAGGTATCTAGGCGTCTATTACAGATTATATCAAGCATCTAATTTCAAGGGAGAAATATCCTTTTGATATTAGCTGATAAAAAGCATAGCATGAAGGTTCAGTAGTATTATTAATAGTAATGACATATTTTAAGCAGTGTGATTTTTCTTTCATTCACATTTGATATTTAAAGCTGCAATTGAAACCTTGGCTTTCTTTCCCTTCAGTTAAAAGTGTAATACAGTAACTTGTTGCTATTGCTGTGGCGTGTTTTGAAAGGGATTTTGAAGATACCTAAGTGACTTTTTTAGCTTTTGAAAAATGTTTGGCTTTAGTCAGTTTGTGGATCAGGCATTTAGAAGCTTCCCAGGCCCCTAAGACTCAAGAATGTGTATACAGCTGTATATCTTTTACTGCTTCCCAAATCCTTTGCCATCACTTGAGGATTTACATGTGCATCACCATCCACAAAATTCCCAACTCTTTTACAGCCATCTTTTCCCGTTTCCTATTTTCAGTGTTTACAAAAGCTGCACTGAATTGCAGCATAGCCTTACAAGAATTTCCGCAGCCTCTTGGCTTTTTCTAAAGCTTTTTGATATTTTTAAATACATGGAAAGGAGCCAGAACTGAGATGACTGGTTCCTTGTATCATAACGACATTACTGGTTGCCTAAGCTCTGCCAGTGTGGTAATGGGTGAGAAAAAATGCAACTTGCATAATGTCATTTATCAACAAATTAAGGGGTTTCGAAGGATATTCTCCATTAGGGAAGACTTGAAAAAGAAGTTACTCGAAATCTCCAAATAGGTATCTATAATTTACAGTTTTTATCTTCCTCCAATCTTTTCCTTTATTATTACCTTCTTTTATTTAATTTAATATTAATAATTTTTTTTAAAGTTTCTAGTCTTGCTCCCCTAGCCTTCTGCAGTAAAAAGCTAGTAATTTTTAGGAGACAGTTGCTCCCATGGGCAGGAGAGCTTCAAGATTTAAGACATTCGAGGCTGCTTTCTGGCTCTGTGGTGATTTAATTGTTGGCTTTCAAGAACTCATGTTCTCATTCTTTGTAGTTTTCCATTTGTAACGTGGGGGAAGGGAGGCAATGCCAACGCTGGGAAGGGGAGGGAACTTTTCTCAGTTAAAATCCCTGCTACGGCATTCCCCCCACACACACACACCCCTGGCCCCGGCCCCTGACTGCTTTCCCCAGTTTAACATATGGTAGAAATTCCTCCAAAGGCACCGTTTCCTGTTTCTGCCTGACAAGAAGATACAACTTCCAAGAATACAGTAGAGAGATGATGAGGAACAGACTCAGGCAGCCGTACACATGCCAGGACATGCAAGAATTTAGAGAATTTTGTCCATTTGCCAGTACCCAGGCAGAAAAACCCGGAGTGATCTGCAGAGGGACTTGACAATCCTTTTATTATAAGTCCCGATTTAAGTACATTATACCCAGTAATTTGAGGTTGTTGGATTTTTTTTTTTTCTATTTGAGTTTTTTTTTTTTT